ACAAATGACTATGCTGATACTCTTTAATTATTGATTTGAGAAATAGGATAAACTCGAAGTTCAGATTCCGTAAGTAACTCACAGATGGCATCGGTTTAGGTCTGTGTCAAGTTGCAAATAAATTTGCAGTCCTAAAAAGATCGAACACTATTGATATTCTATACTGTTTTGTGTGCGTATTTGTAAGAAGTTACAAACTTTTAAGAAAGCATAATTCACAGCTTCTTGGTTTACAGGTTTTTTTTTAAAGCTACCATCAATTTCCTGCCACACAACCATTATAGAAGTATAAAAAACCTGTATTAAATTAGACATATTTCTTCAAAAATAACTAACTATTCATCCCATTTATTGAAATGAATTAACCGATACCGTCATAATTATCATACGCCTTTTATGTTATTATACTTTTGTTCTTGATGTTATGCGGAAACACAGACACGCAGAGAACTACTTCATTTTCTCATTAGTTGTCCTTTTATTTTTGACCGTAAAGGTGGAAGGTGATTTTGCAACTGTTAACTGCTATCAAAACTACCATAATACAGGGTGGAGAAATTGTTTAACAAAAATGAAGTTATTTAATGTTTCAATTTCACCGAATAAAGATAGATCATTGATAAACAAGGCGATTCCCCAAAATTTCATTCGCTAGATATTTTTCGATAAGGACAACCAAGTTGTTTGTTGATCTAAAAAAGCAACGATAATTATCAAAATAGACGTAACACATTATTTGAATCTCATTAATTGTTGTAAAACAGACTCATGAGTTCTTTGTCCTAGGTTCTGTTTTACTATCATTAATGACAAATGTTAAGTAACTTTTGAGATTCACGAATATTTGGTATACAAACACGATTTCAAGATTTTCCGAATATCTTATTCAACAAAGATTACAGTTTGTATTTCCAGAACAAAGCTTTTCATAGACGATAGACTAGCAACAAACAACCTTAGACTTCATTGATAAAACTATTTACATAATACAATTATTAAAAGTTTTGATGAAGGTCAACGACTTTGATTTATTTGCATGTGAACATAAAATTATATGGTGTAGAAAAGATGTAATCATGAAATTTCGTTGTAACATCAGATGTTTAAAGTCTGCACTGGAAAATTTAATGCTCTAGCTTCTAATCCGTTTTGAAAATCTGAAAATTAATTTTCAAGCATTACGGATTGGAGCAACAAGAATGTTATTGGTTTTCCCTGGCAGCTAAAAGAAAATTTTACTGAACGATACTGACAGATACGAAGACACAATTCAAAGGGATTCATCCAATATCTTTACTTGTCTACGCAACAAAATATTTCAAAACAATAAAATATTCTGTATATATACCTAAATCGTTTTCCGTACTTACTTACTTACTTACTTACTTACACCTGTTACTCCCAATGGAGCATAGGCCGCCGACCAGCTTTCTCCAACCCACTCTGTCCTGGGCCTTCTTTTCTAGTTCTATCCAGTTCTTGTTCATTCTTCTCATATCTGCCTCTATTTCTCGGCGTAATGTGTAATTTGGTCTTCTTCTTCTCCTTTGACCTTCAGGATTCCATGTGAGGGCTTGTCTTGTGACGCATTTGGGTGATTTCCTCAAGGTGTGCCCAATCCACTTCCAGCGCTTCTTCCTGATTTCTTCCTCTGCTGGAATCTGGTTTGTTCTCTCCCACAGTAACTTGTTGCTGATAGTGTCTGGTCATCTGATCCGAAGTATCTTGCGTAGACAGCTGTTAATAAACACTTGTATCTTCTGGATAATGGCTTTCGTAGTTCTCCACGTCTCCGCCCCATACAGTAGAATTGTCTTCACATTTGTATTGAAAATTCTAACCTTGGTGTTGGTTGACAATTGTTTTGAGCTCCAGATGCTTTTCAGTTGTAGGTATGCTGCTCTTGCTTTGCCGATCCGCGCCCTCACATCTGCATCTGATCCACCGTGTTCATCAATGATGCTGCCCAGATATGTAAAGGTTTCCACATCCTCCAAAGCTTCTCCGTCAAGTGTAATTTGATTGGTGCATATTGTATTGTATCGCAGAGTCTTGCTTTTCCCTTTGTTTATATTGAGACCTACTGCTGCTGAGGCTGCTGCTACACTGGTCATTTTCTCCTGCATTTGTTGTTGCGTTTGTGATAGAAGAGCCGGATCATCTGCGAAGTCTAAAACGTCAAGCTGCATCCTGCCTGTCCACTATATCCCGTGATTTCCTCCAGATGTTGACGTCTTCATGATCCAGTCGATGACCAGGAGAAAGAGAAAGGGTGAGGGTAAGCAACCTTGTCTAACACCGGTCTTTACTTGAAACGAGTCGGTGAGTTGTCCTCCGTGGACGATTTGTCAGTTTAGTCCATCATAGGAGTTCCGTATGATGTTGACTATCTTCTCAGGCACGCCATAGTGTCGAAGAAGCCTCCATAGTGTCATCCTGTCCACACTATCAAATGCCTTCTCGTAGTCGATGAAGTCGATGTAGAGTGATGAATTCCATTCGATTGATTGTTCCACAATGATACGTAGAGTTGCGATTTGATCTGTGCACGATCTATCCTTACGAAATCCAGCTGGTTGATCTCGAAGTTGGGCGTCCACGGAATCCTTCATCCTGTTTAACAATACTCTGTTGAAGACTTTTCCTGGTATTGAGAGGAGAGTGATGCCTCTGTAGTTGTTGCACTTGCTAAGATCACCTTTCTTTGGTATCTTGATCAGAAATCATTTTTCCAGTCTATAGGTACTTGTTCTTCATCCCAAATCTTAATGAAGAGGATGTGTAGTATCTTGGCAGTTGCTGCTACATCTGCTTTCAGTGCCTCTGCCGGAATGTTGTCTGGTCCCGCTGCTTTGCCGCTCTTGATTTGTCTAATGGCCATGCTGATCTCTTCAGTTGTTGGTGGGCCAACATCGATTAGGAGGTCCGTGGGTGCTGCTTCGATGTTGGGTGGGTTCAGTGGAGCTGGTCGATTCAAGAGTTCTTTGAAGTGTTCTACCCACCTGTTTCGTTGTTCTTCAATGTCGACGATTACTTTGCCTTCCTTGCTTTTCACTGGTCTTTCCGGCTTACGGTGATTTCCAGCAAGTTTCTTTGTTGTATCATACAGTTGTTTCATGTTTCCCTCTCTTGCAGCCTTTTCCGCTGTCACCGCTAAATCTTCCACATATTTACGTTTGTCGGTTCTGATGCTCCTCTTCACTTGCTTGTTTGCCTCTGTGTATTCGGCTTGTGCCTTGGCTTTTTCCGCTCTGGTTCGGCTGGTATTGATTGCTGCCTTCTTGTTCCTTCTTTCTTCAATTTTATCCAGTGTACCAACAGTGATCCATTCCTTGTGATGGTGCTTCTTTTGGCCCAGAACCTCTTGACATGTTGAAACGATTGCCTTTTTGATGCCTTTCCAGTTGCTCTCCATTGAGTAGATCACGAAAGGCCTCGAACCTGTTGCTGAGGGCTATGTTGAATTTGTTGACTTTGTCAGCATCTCGAAGAAAGGCCGTGTTAAGCTTTTGTGATGTTGTCCGCGACGTTGTCCACTGCTTCTTAAGTTTTAGTTTCATCTTGGCGACCAGCAAATGATGATCGGATGCTATATCAGCTCCTCTTCTGGTTCTCACATCCTCCTGAACTTTTTGTTGATGCAGACATGGTCGATTTGATTTTGTGTAGTGTGATCCGGTGAAATCCAAGTGGCTTTGTGTATGTTTTTGTGTGGGAATATGGTGCCACCTATGACCAGTTTATTGAAGGCACATAGGTTTGCAAATCTCTCACCATTTTCGTTCCTTTCTCCCAGTCCATGTTGTCCCATGACGTCTTCGTATCCAGTGTTGTCCTTTCCAACCTCAGCATTGAGATCTCCCATCACAATTGTCAGGTCCTTGGTTAGGCACTTCTCGAAGATCGACTGCAGACTATCGTAGAATTGGTCTTTAGCGTCTTCATCGTAGTCGTTGGTAGGCGCATAGAATTGAATGACGTTCATTGTAATGCCCTCTCTCTTTGTTTTGAAGGAGGCTTTGATGATCCTTGGTCCATGAGATTCCCATCCCATAAGTGCATTATGTGCTTTTCGGAACAGCAGCAATGTAACTCCTTGTGTATGTGGGGCATTTTCTTCTTCATGACCGGAGTATAACAGAAGTTTTCCTGAAGACAGTCGTTGTTGTCCAACCTGCGTCCAATGTGTTCCGCTGATTTCAAGCCCCTCCAGGTTGTATTTTCTCATTTCTGCAGCAATTTGGAAGACTCTTCCGGTCCCCCACATTGTCCGGACATTCCATGTACCTATAAAAATTGTCGCTCTGGTTGTAAGAAGGTGCATCGGCCTCATGACTTCCGAAGGAACTCGGCTTTCATCATGAGACGTCATAATTATTCCTTCTACTCCCAGGGCAGAGTTTGAATGGTTTGAATGATTTTTTCTGGTTAGCGTTTTTTCAGCGAGTTGATTTTCTACGGGATGAGGTCGCTAACCCCATGCCCAACCCTCCTCCTTTACCCGGGCTTGGGACCGGCAGTAACCCCCAGAGGAGCTACAGGCAGAGTTAAATCGTTTTCCGTAGACATTAAGTTAATTTTCGCTACTACTTACAAAAATGTAAAATGTGATTTAATAGTCTTTTCCATCACTCTTTTGGTCATATGATATTGAAGTAAAATTCACAGGTACAAAATTAATCAGGTAAATCTTACTTATCCACTTAGCTTCATCTGACAATAAATTGATAATACTCACAGCAGTCTTATGATTGACTTAAAAGCAAATTAACTAGTCTGACAGATTTAAAAAAATAAACATACTTACTGATTGTATTGTTGACTGAATAACACATGTTTACTTGTATTTTCATAAATATTTAAATCATAGTAAACGTTTGATGAATTATTATTCAATGCCTTTTCTAAATAGCAACATAAATTGGTTATTTACATCTAATAATTTCATTTTTTTTCCACTTTCTTGAACGAAATGAACTAATTTAGTGTTTTTGTTTCAGTGTCTATGTCGTAATACAGCTGGACGACTAATGAAACGTAAAAAGAATCCATCAGATCGCAGTGTTGGTCGGGCAATAGTGGATCAAATGGCATTGTTTCGACGTGCTCCTGGTCCAGCTTACGTCCCACGAAGCTAGGAATATAAACTGAACAGGGAATCACAATAATTAAAAATGAAATCGAAAAAGAAATTCTGAATTAAATATATCCTGGTTTAATTCGCCTCAGTATTCCAATAAAAACCTATGTGACAACACTCTGTATCTTGAATAAATTTTAGGGACCTGCATTTATTATGCTTATTTGTTTTTTACGTTCCTTTTTATTTCGGTGTTACAACTACGTGTGTTTTTTCGTTCTATGTACACAAAATATATTTTTATTCTAGTTCATTTACCCATTGCTGTATAATAATACTATGTGAAACCTTCGTTAAATCCTACAATTCTTACAAATATTTTATACTACTTTTAAAATATTCAGTAGTTAGCTCTTGTTTTTATTTTATATTTTCTGGAGTTTTTCATCCACTGTAATTTCACGTTTTGCTATTTCCACAAACCATTACGATTATGTATATTCAAGTGAAAATGCATAAACATGCGTTTAGATATGTACAATTCTGTATCTTTCAGTGGTGGTGAAAAACAGTGCATTTTCTAAAGTACTTAGTTGTTTGCCTATTTCGATGTGTATTTTGCTGTGACTTTAATGTTTCTTTATTCGATAGTCATTTGAACATTGTCTATTATGGAAGTATTCGACCTTGATATAGATGATTTAGCGTGAATTTTTACTATGGGAGTCTATAACTTAGCTTATTTGATGTTTATATTGAAAAAGTACCTTATTTATTTGAATACATTTTGTAATTTTCAAGTTTTATATAATTTTATGAATAGAGTAAATTAGTTTTGATTTTTCTTAAGTGTGGAAAATTCATCAATTCGCTCGAAACCGCAAAAAATTTAAAAAGATGGTTTCAGAAGTTGAGATAGCATAAAAACTGTTTCAGATGCGTAATATCTTAATACTTCAACAGAAAATAGGTGAATCAGATGACACAAATATAAACATGAAGATGGTAGATGAAGTTTTGTCTGACACCAATAATAAATCAAGATGATGTGTGATTGCGGAAATTTTTACACAATTTATTTATACTGTGATTAGTGTAAAATGAAATAAGTATCATTTAACATCAACTAATTAATAACTGATTATGTGAACAGGTATTCACAATCATGGTAAGCAGAGATGGATAGTGGCTAGCAGTGGAATCCAGGACGCGCGTTTCGTCCTATTTGGGACTCGTCAGCTGGATGTACCTGCATCTCAGAGATGATGTTCACTCTGAGACTCGAACCCAGTACCCTCGCTTCAAACGCCATCACGTTATCCACTCGGCCACTGAGTCCTGATAGCCACTTGCTTGTGCGATGGGGTGAAGTTTAAATTCATTCAGTATTGTTTGTTTGAATCTTCCCATCGATTTGTTAGGACTGCAACTGGTCAGTCTCTTATTGGCATCTGTGCATACTGTGTGTATTGCCTCAATATAGCCTTAATTCACAAGCATGGTAAGCAGAGATGGATAGTGGCTAGCAGTGGAATCCAGGACTCGCGTTTCGTCCTATTTGGGACTCGTCAGCTGGATGTATCTGCATCTCAGAGTTGATGTTCACTCTGAGTTCCAAATAGGACGAAACGCGCGTCCTGGATTCCACTGCTAGCCACTATCCATCTCTGCCTACCATGCTTGTGAATTAAGGCTATATTGAGGCAATACACACAGTATGCACATATGCCAATTAGATACTGACCAGTTGCAGTCCTAACAAATCGATGGGAAGATTCAAACAAACAATACTGAAGGTATTCACAATGTCATAAATAATTAAACGGCTATAACCAACAGATATAACTAAACCATGTAATTACTCCATTTTAAGAAGTGATTGCATGTTAGAGACGATTAGAAGAATTCAATTTCGTATGTCACTTCCATTCCAACCAATTTGCTGCTTGCTAACTATTTCTAAAATAACCCACAACAAAAAGAAATATAATAAGATATCTCACCTAATATTAAGGTTCATCTACAGATATCTCAGTTTATTACGTAGTTTTATGACTGAAACATTAACATTTTCTTCTATAATAAAGCTTCAAATTCCAATAATCGTATCTACTTTACTCCTGTTTAGTGTTTGAGTAGAAATGTAAGGAATATAACTTATTACCAAAATAATCTCTTATGAGATGGAAGTAATCCCTAGAGGTATTTCTACAACAATTAACACACATTTTAGGATTCACAGGATTATGAACAGTTAACGAAAAACTTGTTGTAGATTACTTAAAGAAAATGAAATTGCTGGTAACAGTATATACTGATGTTTTATTCTTACTTTATCAATAAAAAGCTAACTGTTTTCGTTTGTTCCTCCGTTTTCATTATTGTACCTTTAATGGAAGAAAAGATAAAGATTAAAAAACTATAGTCGGTTGATAGGACCAAGTAAAATGGACATGTTTTTTAACGCTATGTAGAACGACTTAGAACAGAAGGAACCCATGAAAAATTTGATAAACTCATATATCATGTGAAGTTTCCATATAAAAATATTCAGTTTATTTTTCCGAACAACCTTGTTAGATTCATTTAAAAATGCAAATTCACTGGGCAAAGCTTTTATCTCAATCATAGTGTCGTACTTTGTCTTCATTCATACTAATAGTATAAAATGAATAGTGATTTTATCAGGTTGTCACTATCAAATAATTATCTACATTAAATCAATTGTAGTAAATTAGCTTGGCACAAAAATAGACGGATAGAAATCAGTTGGTATAGCAATAGATTGTATCATATGACTTTAATGTATAACAGTCATTCAAAATGTATTAGAGTTTGCATAATTACTGAAAATATGGAATCACCACCACTTTGCACTAATCATTATTACTAAACAGTCATCTGAATGATCAGCTGATCAATGTCCATAGCTAAAGTGTATCTATAGAAATGAGGAAAGTCACAAGAGAAATACTATTAATTTAAAAAATGTGATTTGACTTAAAGCCACAGTGTGTAAATGAACCGAGTGATAATGTATAATTATTGATTTCTTTGGTTTATTATCAACTTTTTTCTGCATAAAAATGTTTTGAACGGGACAGAATAAAGTAATATTTACTCTTGGGTTGTGTGACAGTTGTTTAACTTCACTGACTGATCCTGCAAAGACTTAACAAAGAACAGTCCATGACGTTAACTTTAAGAAGTAATAGTTGTTTGAACTTTCCCTTGGTGTTGAAACGATTATGATTCGGACAGCACTACCACTGTAAACTGTAAATATATATATCATATAATTATAAGCAAAGATGAATAGCAGCTAGCAGTGGAATCCAGGATGCGCGTTTCGTCCTATTTGGGACTCGTCGTCCCAGAGTGAATACCAACTCTGAGATGCAGGTACATCCAGATGACAAGTCGGAGATAGGACGAAACGCGCGTCCTGGATTCCACTGTCAGCCACTATTCATCTTTGCTTATAATCCTTGTGAATCAAGGCAATATCGAGGCAATACGCACAGTATGCACAAATGCCAATAAGAGACTGATCAATTGCAGTCCTAAACATCAATGAGAAGATTCAAACAAACAATAACAAGTGAATATATCATATCAGTGATGTATATCTTTAAGTTGTTTATTGCTTTTTAAAGCAGTTAATTAACGATAACTTTTGAATTAATTGTTCTTAGAAATATTTAACAATACATTTTACCTTGATATGATGATTGTATTATCTTTCGTTACGACCCATTTGAGCTTAATTGTCTGGAATAGTCATCATTAAGGTTTAGTGAGGTAACAACAAAATGAAAACGATCGAACTGTGAGTCGATCCAAAAGCTATACTGTCGGCTCTACGGGATTTTGATGACAAAAAGTGTTTCCCATATTCATAGCTTCCTATAGAATGAAGAAGTGATCCCCAACTTCCAGAACTGAAAATAACATATTTTACATTCCTCTACCAATTTGTAGTGTCAACAGTAAAGTCTGAAAAGTACAGGACTAGTACAACCAACAATAATCATACACAAATATCGCATATATAAATACGCCTACATTTCCATAAAATAGTGACAAGCATTAAGAAAAATATCAGACGATAAATGAGTAAGTGAAACAATACATTATCAGCGTTAAAGTTTTATTTAAATTATTCTCAATAAAATAATATACTGAGTTTAACTAAATAACATTTCATCATTTTTTTATTTAAAATTTTTTTTAAATATATACTTTTCTAAGCAAAGATGGATAGTGGCTAGCAATGGAATCCAGGACGCGCGTTTAGTCCTACTTAGAACTCATCAGCTGGATGTACCATCAATGGGAAGATTCAAACAAACAATACTAAGTGTATTTACTTTTCTCTTTTCTTAATTTATCAGTTCATTCAGTTAGTATTCAGTGTAAAAAGGAGAATACTCTACTCCATTAAAAATTAATAAGTAAAACCTACAACTTTAAAAATACGGTTTTTACACGTAGATAATAAAGTCGTTGTGAGAATGTGTTTATAAAACGTCAACAATCAATATACAATGAATAATTGTATAATTAATATTATATTTTTTATGTATTACATACCAATAATCTAAAATAAAACGGTTAGATACAATCAATAAATGTGAATTCAATGAATATTTTATTATGAAATAACAACAATTAATAAATGTTATAATTATTATTACCATTGTTTTCTGAAATAATTATTACCCTGAAGAAGTTCAGACAAGTTAGCTGGACGAAACTTTGGAATTATTTAAATTTCAATTGCTGAGATTATTTCAAATATAATTTTTCACATATAATAAATTATTTTTATTGTTTCTTTTTTAAAGTATAATTTCTCTGTATGATTTCTTATTTTATCTAGTTAGGTTTATGGAGAATTCCATAAAATCTACCTTTTTTTATTTATTACTTAATATCACATCTACTAGAACTGCACGAATAGTTATTAGTAGGTTAGTTATAAATATGTTATATTCCGAAGAGAATTATGAATGGCAAATGTTGAGAATTATTTATGAACCAATATAATATGTATATTTCCTATTGTGTAATTGTTAAGTAACTAAACTATTCATATTCATGTTCCTTATATTATGCGTTTCATTTTGACCCACAGACTATTATTAAACGATTTACCATTCTTGAGTTATCCTCAGTCTATTAATTACAGTCCCCTCTACTCACAGCCACATTTAGCTAAATCTTGTACAAATGTTATTTTCTATTTTATGGTACGATGTTGTCTGTCTGTTTGATATATAAACCCAGTATGTTTGAGAATGATGATTCATATTGCAGAGACTGTTATTGGTGTTCTGGACTTAACTGGCCGGATTAGGCAGAAAGCAGGACCAACAAGTAATCTAGACTGCTCGTACGTGTTTCGTGTATCTTAAAACTGATCACTGCTCTCCAATTGGCGGCATCGTCACGTTATATATAAATAGGGCACTAGACCACACGATACATAAATGACTGTCCTATCATAAGAATTCATTCAGTTGATATTTATAAAAATAATAATAATAATAAAACAATACTTCTGGGCAAACTCTTAATTTAACTTAACTTTGTGCTGAATTCTAGTGAGAACACTGGTCAACTGAATTATGTTAGTAGTGACTTTAAGTCACTTGTCCATTTTCTAAATTCATGATTCATGAATATATAGTAGGCAGATTTAATGATATTATATTCACCAATCTGGACGATTTAATTAGGGTAAGACTCATAGAATAGAATACATATGAAAACACTGAAATCTAAGTATACATAATGCTAAACAGAATAAGTCGAATATAAAAT